GGATGAAGACATTGTCCCCAATGCTCTGTGGGAACGTGTCTAGAACTCTGGCCTCGATTCTGTAGTTTTAAAAAGGGCATCTCAGTGGTTACCAGATCCAGGCCGGAGTCAAAGAACGGGAGAACTCGAAGGGCCCCCAGGAAAGATCTGGTCCAACCCTTTCATTTCACAAATGAGAAACCGGAAACCTGAAGACGGCGGTGACTCAAGGCCACCCAGCTACGTGGCGGCAAGGTCAGGCCTTGAACTTGGGTCTCTGGATTCCGTCACTGGATCTGCAAACTCCAGGGCGGCGCTGTGGCTCCCGGAGTGACCTGTGGCGATGAGCCGAAGGGTCCCACGGTTGAGCCTGGCACAGTGCCTGGGCTAACTTAGAGCAAACCAATACTTTCCTAAAACATAAAATTGAATTACTTGAAAAATGGAATAAAAAATGAACGTCTAAAATGCAATCCCAAACTTTTGTTATTAGAGTCAACTCACATAAAATCACTTTGTTAAGTGGCTATAAAGGTTTCTAAGCGTTTTTTTCCTCCATTTCTGTATTTATCTCTTCACGGGCCAGTAACGAGCAGTTTGCAGACCGGCAGTGGCCCACGTTCCACACTTGGAGAAGCGTTTCCCTAGAAGGCCCAAACTTTAACCACCAAGAGATAGGGGCTACCTGGCCACCAAGCCCCAGCTTCCAAGTGTAGGAGGGTCACATTAGAATATGGATCGGATTGGAGTGAAGGCTTCGGTGTGATTGTGAGTCGTCATTCCGACTGAGACTGCACACTCATGTATTATTCATTGTCTTGAGCAATACAAACTCACAAAGCCTCCTAGTGCCCTGGCCCGGAATAGCCCCATGGGGCACCGTGGACCTGCCACGAGAAGTGCCTGTTCAATTCCGAGTTCCGCACTTTTACATCAGAACCGGCCCGGTAAGGGGCATCTTCTATCTTTAGTTCCAGGCTTATAGGTCTTTGCTTGTGCGTGAACGGGCGGCCCCTCCCTGCAGCGCTTCCTGCCAGAGTGGTGTCCCCAGATCACCCGGGGCTCAGATGCTGCGGGGACAGCTGCGGGCACAGATTGGAAGAGGAAGGGCAGCCCCCTCCTGGAGTCTAAGAGCAGAGCCAGGCCTCAGTGTCACTCTCGCCCAGGGGAACCGGGCAAGGCGGGGCTCCCCTGTCCTGAGTCACCCTTGGGAGCCTCTAAGTCCCAGGCCTCTGGGCTCTGGGCAGTCTCATCACGCCTCTCCTAGACCGACCCCCTGAAGGCCTTGTCCTTCTCTCCCCGGATGCTGGCCCCTTTGAGCTTCCTGCGAACTGAAAGCCCACCTTGATCTGTAGAGGTGCTTCGGACCCACCCCTGTTCTGCTCTTGCCAGTGTGGACCCCACAGCTGGGGCCCGCACTGCTCTTTCCGAGCCCCGGACTGTGCGAGACTTACAGAGCCCTCGGCCCGCTGGTCTCCCTCTCCCGGACACCACAGCTGCTTGACCCGAGCCCTGGGCCTCCTGGGGCTACTCCCCCCATGGACTCCACGGGGCAGGCACTGTCCACACTCCCACACTCGGGGCACACGCAGGAGGCAGCGTCTGAAGCCACCTTCTCCCCTCCCCTCCCCTCCTCTCCTCTCCCTCGCGGATTGGTGTGTACTTGGTGTTGCTCATTCATTCATCGGACATTTGCTGAGTCTTCCGTGGGCTGGTGCTGTTCCAGCCGTGGGTAAGTGCAGGGAACAAGGCGGAGAGCCCTCAGGAAGCCGCTATCCAGTGGGGGACAGCACAGTCAATGCACAGAGCTGCTGCTGTGACAGGCGGAGACAGCGGGTGGAGAAAGGAGGAAGGCTGTTCGGGGAGCAGGACGGACTCCTTTAGGGTAGGCTGAGACCCAGAGGCAGCGAAGGGGCAGGACCTGGCCACTCGTGGGAAGAGGGCGTCCCAGATGGCCCTTACGAAACAGAGCGTCTCGGAGCTCCTTGAGCA